AATGTTACATTATTAAAAACAAATCATCATAGTATACATTATAGTATACAATAAAATGGAAACAATATAGTAAAATTAGGTATATTAATAATGAAAAAATAATATTAAAAATTTCATATGTTTTGTTCAAAGTTTTCTTTGCAAAATCGTAAGTAGCAAAACTTATACCTGATATACATTTTTGTTCATCACCAAAAATGAGTTCAACATACCACTTATAACATATATATTCTATTGCTAGATGGTATTATGCTTTTTAGGTTCTGTTTTATTTTTCAATAACTTTGTTGCATGCTTTAAAAAGCTAGTGCCATGACAAAAGCACTGCACTCTATCATAGAACGTGTAGTAGAGATTCAGAAGAATTTTCAGTTCATTTTCTTCGAGTAAAAATATTTTTCTTAGAGGTTGATCGTGCATTATATATTATTTAAAACAAAAGTATCGGAAACAACACTTTCACCAGAATCTACGAACTTGTATACATGTTGGAGAACTTGAATAAAAGATCCTTGTGATACTGTCAATATTTCAAGGAAATACAAATTGTGTTTTTAGCTTCTAAATTAGAGTGACACAAGTTCTAAGAAATATAACGAAAATTCCAAATAACTATTTTTAATTTTAACCCAAGTGGTAATAATTCACTCTATAATTTTATTAAAGAAATATTTTCGTGAAATTATAAAAAGAAAAGAAAAAACCCAAAATTCACATTATTTTTATGCTATCATGTAAATACTTTCGGAAGGTACTATATAAATATGTTCAAACAAAGAAACTTATTCATGCATACATTTTAAAACCAACAGTGTAGCATATTTAAAAAGTTTATAAAAAACTTTGAAAAAAAAATTAAATTATTATTATAACTATCGTTAAGATACTGCAGTTGACAAAATATATATATTTAAGTCAGAAGCCATTTGAATATATTACGTCAGAAGCAACATTATGACAAATACGTTGTCGTCTGTACGGGAACATGATGGATTATTAATCATGTCGTTTAACTAATTTTTTTATGGACATCCAATATATTTTTATGTTTCGAGAACCATGTCTAGAATTTTACTATCATAGTATCGTTCACGTTAATAAATTGCTTCAGGTTGACACATATCTGATATTCCTATGGAAATATTCATTCCGAAAGCACTTTTGTAACAAAGTAAAATCGAAACACAAGTGAAATGGTACTTTGAATACTTCATAACACTTGAAACTATAGGTTCACAGGAATTTTATCTCGTTAATTATGTTTTTAACGAACAGTGGTTCTGTAAATTAATAAGTATTCAAAAGTCGCGAGCTGAATCACAGTAAATTTCAACAAGCCACCATAAAATATGTAATAAACACAGCAATCAAATGGACTGTTTTACTTCCCTACGCTACTATAAGCGTTCCATTAAACATTGATGAAAACTGCATTACGCTAACGTCGTTTGCAGTTCGTTTTACTTTCGTGTATTCATATGTAAATAGTTTTTTGAACCTAATATTCCTTCAAACGTGACTTAGCTTTCAGCTAAACGTCTGCATCTCGTTGTTTCGCGTACCGTAATATTAAGCTATATCATTGCGCGGGAAAAAGCGTTTGAAATCATCGAAAATAATGGAACATCCATTACGCGTTGTTTACCATGAATAATATCGATCACGAGTTTTCGAGCGTGTACAATTCGTGTACAACAACCGAAAACAAGCGAAACATGTTGAATTTCAAAGTTTATTTCACGCTTTCTGTCGGTAAAGTCACACACGTGTGGGAGAAATTTAAAAAAAAAAAAAACGACACCGTTTCACACGTCTGCCGGTACGGGGAGCACACGAAATCGTGCTCGTTGATATTTTTTTGTATTTCTTCCCCCCCCCCCTGGTATCTCATAAAGTTCAAGTGAAACGTACCTTTGGCAAAGTTTTTGAATAATCGACGTGCACATCGTTACTACGCGAAAGGGACGGAGGACGGCCAACGTGAACTCGCGGAACGTAAATCCCGGGCTGCATTTAATCCTGGATTCCGACAACGTTCGAACCCTCGAAGTTTACGGCTGCGTGATCTCGTATCCAGTACGCGATATGCGATACGACCGTCGAAACGCGGACCAGTGGTGTGTGGTTATTGTCTTTTCCGCAATAATCGAATATTTTCTCGATTTTATCATCATCGAATGATCCGGGAGTGTAGTACGATTGCTAGTCGAACGACGAATACTCGAATAGCGATCGATTAATCGAGTGACGGACGATCGACTGAAATAATCGATTAACAAAAAATAATCGCACAGCCTTACCACGGATACATTAAGGAACTAACGCGCGTAGTACCCACGGTCCGACGAGTACGGCAAAACGTACACGACACGACGGTTTGATGTGTAGCGTTTACGGGATAAGTATTTCGGTCACCACCATGTTTTGGGATTTCGAACAGCTTTAAGCAATGAACGTTTTTCTTTTTTTTAATTAATACTATTAACATTATTTTTCTCATCATTTTTTCAGTAAACGTTTTCTCGAACATTCGGTATAATACACGTGTACGCACAAATTCTTGGATTCAGCGTTTTATGTATGTAATTATTTTTTGTAATTTGTCACATCGTACGGGTCGTACTTCTATTTTACTACAGTTTTGCTGGAGAAAAAAAATTAAATTTTAAAAACATGAAAAAAAAATGAAAAGTTAATAATTTTCACGATTGATGATAACAATCGTTTTTATTTTTGATCTCTATGGGAAGTTTTTTTTTTAGATAAGAAATCACTGGATTTTATAACTTATGATTTTTTCATCACAATTTTGTAATATTTTTATCCCCGTAATTATATATTTTATTTGTAATACTGTAATAGAAATAAGACATTATTATATATTGCACGTCATCACTTTCGGTCTCAATCAATTGTTTCCACATTTAAACAAAATAATAAAATCCATGCACTTATATTCAATCGTAAAAAATATTATTGTTGTTAAAACTAACGTTACCGATATAAAAATATGGACTAAGCCTCTGAGATCGTGATAATAATTCAAGAACACGCTTTGATTAGTTTAGGTTTTACTGAGAAAATATTGACAGAACGTATCCGTCCAACAATTGGGGTTTATGGCGGTTCATCACAGATGATGATGATGTAGGTATATGTCACGCGTATAATAGTATTACCTCCTTCCTCCGCATTCATCTCACGGATTTTGACCTCGGTGGTCGATGTGAAAGTATGAAAAGTTTTTATGGAAGTTATAATTTCGACGTGTACATTGTTCTAATTCCACGAGAAAACGCATCGCGACATTTTTTTTCTTTAAAATGATGATAGAAAAGGAAATAGAAATAAAATGAAAAAACGTGGAGAGCATGAAAAATATATAAAAAGTTTTGAATCTCGGTTCATGTTGGCTGAGAATCGTTAATGATATTAAATAATTAATTTTGCACGTTTTAATTAATCTTTGTTATAAAATAAAGAGTAATAACTGCGTCTTACAATTAGTCTTATTCACAAGTAATGTCTAATGATTTCCTGGTGAACTTTAATTAAACCGAAATAAACTTCAGACGATAACTATCTAAGCACTTGGCACGTTATTCCGTTTAGATTTTGTAGCCATGAAAATTAAATTATTGATTTTTAATCCATATGGTTATTAAGTAATAATTAAATCCTATATAGATAACGTAATGCCGTAAAAGTTTTCGTTGATTCCCGACTAGCTTTTAAAGAATGATTAACCAAAAGAACTATATCCTAAACTTCCATTGCAGTGTAAACATTAGTAACAATTTATGATGTATAATTGTATTTAAATAATTATTAAAGTTGGTTTCTTAAAAATGATTATAAATTAACAATATGGAATAAGTAGATTGTGATTAAAAATAAACCACAATAGCGTTTATGTATATAATGTATATATGATATATATTATATTTAATTTACAGAAATATATGATTTATTCATTTAAATAACGTTTTATTAAAAAGCAACAAGTGATTTTTTTTTTTTTAAACGGTGGACAACAAAAAGTATCTCATGAAAAAAATACTAGTGTATGAACAACCAAAGGCACTTATCACATCTCATAATAATAGAATGCTTAAAATAAAAACAACAAGAAAACTTCAACATATACGGTCAAATACAAGAGAACTTAGCATACTACGAGATAACAGAAAGATTTAATTACTCAGAAATAGAAAATATTCGTAAAGAAAATTAAAAAAAGAAACAAAGTTAATTTTCTGTCAACCTAAAAATATGGCATATAAGTAATTGTAAATGTATAAACGTAAACAAATTGTGATTAAATCGATGAACGATATAAAAAACAATTAGTTTATCAAACTTCTACTCAACGTAATATATAATTTATTCGCTCAAATTTTCTAGACGGTAAAACATATTTTGGATGAGCGTAATAAAACAAATTTTAAACGGCAAATCCAGTTTTAAATTTGATTGACATTACAATCCAAACGCGCTAATATTTTAAAGTGTTCGGACGGAGCGGCAAAGGAATATAAAGGTGTATATTGGTCGATTTCTAACGACGACGAGACTGCCGAGAGGTTCATCATTAAGTGCGCTAAGTCACGTCTAAACGTAGGAACACACGTTTTTACGACCAACTAGCACTGGACACCTTTCGCATACGAATTTTGCATTAATCAGGTCTTGTTCTAACGGACAGTCCTACCCGAATTCGGTAGTAGAAAAAGGCAAAAGGGCAGTTGACTTTAAGAATATGGGCTGTATTGCGTGTGTATCATGTCATTATTGCATTGCGTTCATATGCGTAAACACAATGCGTACGAACACGTCCGCGTTAACGTCGCGATACATAATTCATGCGCGCGCCCGGGCGGTCGCAGTGCCGACGTACTTCACTACGGTTAGGACCCACGCGCGAACCCCTCCCACCAACCACGTTCCGTTCACGGGGACGACGGCGTTCGTCGTTCGCTAGTGCCGCGGGCCAAACTCACCGAGCGGCTGGTCGCTGCTCTTCCATATGTAACTGTACACGGTGCCAGGGTCGGTCCTGCGCCACTCGCCCCGCCAGCCGCGTCGCGATATCGCGCTGTTGTTGCCGCCGCCGTTGCTGGTGTCGTTCGGGTCCAGCGGCGACCCGGCCTGCGGCTGACTCGGCTGCCCCGACTGCGGTCTACATTCGCCACCTGCAAACACGACGGACAATGATTATCAATTCACGAGTGACGGACGATGGAGGAACGCTTGTTGCGCGGTGCACGCCGATATCTGTCACGACTGAGGCCAAATCGACCAAAGCCGACAGGGATGGACGTTTTGGACGGTGACGACAAATGCGAGCGGAACTTCCGCACCTAACCGGGGGGAGGGATGCACTTTTGAATCAGGTGCCGATTCCAGAGCCCTTATAACATGTGAATTACTTCACTGTTGGTCATCACTAGTGGTTTTCTCTCCGACTAGTTGTTTTTGCAACACGCGCGTGTTTAACGTAGTTCAAGGGCGTTCTACTCGCATTATGTTTTTTTGCCGTTGATTTACATTCTATCGTAGTGCTACAATAGTTAACAAACAATTTTTTTTTTCTTATCGTACAATAATTTAAACATAGTTTTACACGGCATATCACAATACCGTCGGTGTCGAAATACTTTATCCTTTGACTACCACCGTATCGTGCGCCTACACATGGACGGAGAATGGACGAGTGAGCAAGCCAACGGGTTACTGGCGAGATCATCAAATCAACCTAACGATCAAGCACAATTCGGCCATTAGTAATGTACCATGAATATAGGTAGTGAAAAAAAAAAAAACGTTGATGAATTGCGAAAAATCTTGTCATCGACGGGGAAAAAATGTATCAAAATATATGATTATTTTCAATGTAAAATAATGATATTGAAAACGCATCGAGTGTGGAGTAGGTGGGAGGAATAAAATTATACGCTGGCAGTTTAAATAGAAGAATGGTCTGGCACTATTGTTTCTTGCGCCTGATCCGAAACTCGTTGCATGACCATGTTAAAAACGTGGGCACTATTGCTCATGGGTGATCGATAATGTTATATTATATCTACGCATGAAATACTTAAACGGTGTTATAAATAATCGACGAGTACAACACAGTCGAGTAGTACACAGCCGAGTTACGAGTGTGTGAGTTGTGAGTTCCGAGCGACTTCTCACCAACATCATTGGCTGCGACTATAGGTAGCACGTGCACGCATATAAGAAGTATAGCTTCGTTGTACACGATCCATGCGTCTATCCGATAAAATATTGAATGGATGCACACGAATCCGGCAAACATAAATGTATATCAGATCCAGAGAATCCCAAACCGTGAAGCCAGTTCTCGTATTTTATACCAAAATACCTAACTGGTACCAGTGTTCTGGAAGAGACGATCGATTCCCGCAATCCTGGGTCTATGCCGATTTTGCCGACTATGGCTATTTTTTCTGTATTTCACGTGACTACAGTAACACAGAATAATCAATGGACAATTTTTTTTTTTAACAATAACGGGTGGAGAAAGCCGCTCACTGAACCTACCGACTATCCTCCTGAATGACTTAGAGACACTAGTTATACATACCAAAGGCGTATATGATCGGACAGTAAACGAAATCAACCCATTGTGAAACGGCAATATTTGCGTACTCCGAGTTGAACAATTATAAGTAACGAAATCAGGGAGTTCTGTACAGCGTATTCGATGTGTTGTTGAATTGTTTTATCGATAGTTAATAGTTTGTAGGACGGCAAAAATGTACATATATAAATGTATTGTACTAGGTATAAAATGCACAAGTGTTGGTTATTATAAATGATCATGATCATATATATATATATATAGTGCGTTTTGATATCCTGACTGATGATATTGTGATTAATTACGACGACTATGCCTTGATTAAAAACAATGATTATATAATCGGGTAAAATATACAGAAATAATTATCGTTTTACATGATACAAGAACGAATCATTAGCAACGAAGGTAAAATAGCACGCGGACGTGAATCCATTTACAAACAATTATATTTATGTGAAATTAATTTAATTACAAATCAAAGTTGTCTGTGGAACGAACATTTCAAGACATGTATTGTCGATAGTTGATAATTGTGTTTTAATATTTATAAACAACTAGTCTAGACAGTTTAGAAAGTTTACATTTTTAGTTGGATAAGATCGCATAATATTGTTATAACATTATGGATCAACATAATTATTTGTTCATTAATATCACAGCTAATTATTAACATAATAGATGTGATCAGTCATGTTAATAGTTAGTATAATTGATTTACACAAGTCTCTAGACTTTACTGTTCCCCCTCCCCATTCAATCAATAAATGAATAGTTTAAAAATTCTACTATTTATATAATATCTCCATGTAAAACACGATTGTTTACATTTGTCCGTTTTGGCGATTTTCACGATTGCATATGTTTGTAGATGATTTAAACATATACTAACAGTTATAATAAATATAGACATAAATAATAAACATAAACAATAAATATAACAGTTCTATAATAATTCATAAAAAAAATTAATAATAAAATAATAGATAAAATGAGGATATCTAAATAAAAGAAAAGTAATTAATAAATAAATAAAATTGACAGTTTTTATTTTAATAAAATTATTGCTAATAAATTATTTGAAAATAATTAAATTTAGATTTCCTGACATCTATAACCTACTATTTTTACTGAAACTTGGAAAATACCATATAATACAACGGAAATAACGAAATTTCAAAAAAATCAGGTAAAATCGTACGGAATCGTGTTGCTTAAAAAAGGTATCGCCGATAACGAACGTACGCAATTGTGTTTTACCCGTATCTCCAACAATTCATTTTGTTCAAAGTATCCCTCCATCATAAAACGTTGCCCACCAAAATATTTGATCTGATTATAATGTAGGTATAACCTTTCTAATCTAATCAGATTTAATGAACAATGAGTTATATAGTTAGTTAATAATAATTTTATACTGCCATGATTTAAAATTTGAAACATGACTATTGCTAGACATAATTATAGGCAGCTAAATTATGAACAGACCGAGTGAATAGCAAGAAATATATACGTGTTTGGTTTTTTTTAAACATATATCTTACAGTTTAATAGACACACACAAATATACATATATATATATATATATATATATGTATACAAAGATAAAAAAACAATTTGGTTTCTTATTGTATTTTTAATTACGTAATAAAACGACAACTAAAAAGAATAAAGTAATTATTATTAAATTTAGTTTATATTCTGCTGATTTGATAATGTAAACGTCTGCTTAGGGAGTATTGTAAATTACCGCATCGTTTAAAGTAGCTTAGGCAACCTACCTGAGTATTATACCATACTAATAATAAACTGAAATAATGAGTGTGTAATTAAATATTTAAGTTTTTTGTGGAGAATGAAAATGTTCAAGTATTAAATTTATGAAATGTAAGAGTAAACTTAAAAATAAAAACCCAAGATACAACTTCTAATATAATATTAAAATCTAACAGTAAGATACATTTATTTTTTTTATGTAAAATAAAATCATTGGAAATTCATATTTAAATATTAATCCGGTCAATGTCTTAAATATTAAATAATAAATTTTTAAAATAAAATACTATGCCATTTTACATTAAATAAAATAATTATTTAGTTTTAAACATTATATCCGTTAAATATTGTCCTCTATTATTAACACATTTACGAAGCCTTTCCCGGAAGTTTTCCATTGCTCGACGAGTCATTTGTGGTGTAATGGCTGTCACTTCCTGAGTGATTGCCTACTTAAGTGTTTCCAAAGATGTTGGGTGATGAGTAAAGACTTGGGCGTTTAAATGTCCCCAAAAAGAAATTACAAGGTGATAAATCGGGGGATCTTGGGTGCCAGGTTATGTCTCCTTGTAAAGAGAAAAGATGACCTGGAAACATTTCTCTCAAAATGGTTAATGAACAACGTGAAGCTGTGGCTCCTATCATGTTGGAACCAGAATTTGTCGTGGTTCCTAGTAAACCGATTTATGTTTGGTCGGAGGAAGGTCTCAATTATGTGATATTAGCAATCCACTTAACAATAACTTTTTGCCCATTTTCTTCGAAAAAATACGGACCTATACACCAAATTCAGTAATAGCACACTAAACTATCACATAAGGTCTGTGAAGTGGTCGTTGATGAAGTTATCGAGGGTTTTCTGTTGTCCAGTATTGGAAATTTTGTTTATTTACAGTACCCGATAAATGGAAATGGGCTTCGTCAGACGAAATTAAAACAGCACCAACGGAAAGTTTTGAAGAATGTCTTCACAAACAGCTCTGCGAGTTTCAAAATCTCTCTCACTTAATTCTTGTGTGTTGTTCACCGTGCCACGCCATTATGAGTACTGGAAATGACATGTAGACTTCTATCTATCTATACCCGGAATACCGTTTTATCTATAAATGGCTATAAATATAAACTTTAAAAAACGGGAGGTTTTTTTTGCCGGACCCTGTATATATATATATTAAGTAGAATTTCAAAAACTCGTTACCGAGTGTCTATATTTTAAATATAAAAAATATTTCTATATTTTCAAATCCTTGATAGGCTGAAACAATTAACCGAAACGCGACTAAAACTATTCGCAGAGCAATTAAAATATTTTTGTGCGAACATCAAAGCGTTTTCTATGATATCGATATGCGGTGGCTTGTACAAAGCATGCGTAAGTCCGTGAATTTCGTTGCTTTGATCAATGAAATATTACAAGTAATCCACCGCAATATTTACGAATCTAATGCGGCAGAGTAAACTGTGTTGAACCTTAAAGGAGTAATCCTTCGTAACGCGCGCTTGCACTTCGTTACCTTATGCGCGTGCACGTGAAGCGTGATATTGCCGCAATAATGTGGAAAATCGTTCACAAAGAGGAAAACCGTCGGTGAGCGATCTCGCGCGCACATTCCCAGGCCAGCCGCCCGCGAGCGGTACGACGCGAATCGTCGGCGGTTTATGTTTCAGAGGGCCCGACGCGCTACCACGAAAGTCTAACCACACAGGGACCGAAACCGTTCCTCGGTTGCATTACTCGCGCGTTAATGAGTAGATTCTCGATTTTTTCTTTCAAATATTCATTGTGCGTGCAAGTTCGTGAAAATCGTTGTT